AAAATGTTCACTTGCTGCCTAATGGGCCCCAGGAGTATGTGTGAAGCTAGGTGACAGCATTTAGCTATATTAACTAGCTAGGAATTCATCCAAATAAACAAGAAAGCTAACGCTAACCAGCTAAAACCACTATATCACAATATATTTCTAAGCTTTGCAGTAATGTTAGCTTTGACTTTGGACTCTGTTGTGATGGGTGTTTGGTGACGGTAGCGGACTCCATCTTTAAGCTAACATTAGCTAGTGTTGCTCAGTGTTGACACTGTAGAGTTGAAGGTGGATCAACGTCAAACCTGCATCCCTTCAAGTTACATTACAACTCGTTAATTTTTGCTAAATGCCTTGTAGTCAGTGATAGTAAAAACTGAATATAGAGTATATGGATTGAAACTTTAGTGGCTTAATTTTGTTGTGCAGTGTTGATTGTTTTATAGACCTGATTGGCTGACCAATTAGTTGGCTTGCTTAATTAGCTTTCACACCTTTCCTTGTATGTGTGTTCAGGACTCTTTTCCACTGAAAGTTAGAGGGATCCATCTGGTCAATGAGCCGATGTTCTTCCGTCCAGTCTTCGCGATGATTCGTCCCTTCCTTCCAGATAAGATCAAACAGAGGGTCAGCAGCCTGTTTATCACACACACTGATTATACAATACCTGTCTCTGTTCTCTGTTTTGCATATAAATACACAGTGGTCATGCTTTTAAACAGTTTTAAAATCAAGTTCCCTCTCTCCCCACTGTAGATCCACATGCACGGTGCTGATTTCCACGACTCTTTAAGTGACTTTTTCTCACCGCCTGTCCTGCCTCCAGAATATGGAGGAGAGGGGCCTGACATAGAAAAGGCGTGTCAGGACTGGACCAATAAGCTGCTTCAATCAGAGAGGCTCCTGCATCAGATTGCCGCCCACCCAACAGGTGACATCGCCATTGCTCCTGATGACTCCTTCATCTCAGAGGAAGTGGACACTGAACAACGCTCAGATGGATGACAATTACACACGGTTGTTTTGTACTTTGGATCAACCAAACACACTCTCTGGCGGCCATTTTGTAGGTTCTTAACTCAGATGTTGGCTGCATCAAGAGAGCTATCTGTGCTGCTTTGAAGCATTTCATCACTGGACTTCGTGTCAAGCCCAGATTAGTCTAGGGTAATTTATAGTTAGTCAGATGCCCCTGCCTTGCATCGCTCTTGGCTAGTAGAAAACTATTGTCAGCTCATTTATTGTTGGCTAAAATCAACACCATTCGTCATAATACATAGTCGTCATTATATATCACAGCTGGGGAAGTTACTTTGCAAGCTAACAAAACATCAACTCATTTTGCTAGCTTAACGTTAGTGAGCAAGCAAGCTAAGATTAGCCAGCCAGCTGCTGGAATTTATGTTTACATGTTAGCTAATTGTATTCCTGGTTACATTGATCATTGAAATTGAAGATTTTTGCACCTGCTAACTTATGTACACATATTTGCTTTCTTTCCAAGAGTGACAATAATGTCAATGTCTATCTCCTGTCTGGACGTGAAGTACTCAGTTTGAGTCCGTACGTAGTTAGCATAGCTTAGGACAAAGAGTGGAAATAGGTGGAAACAGCTAGCATGGCTCTGAAAGTGAAGCTTACTAAAGCGAAAGTTTACATGTAACAGGTTTTATCTTGTTTGTTTAGCCTATACTCAAAAAGAAATGTAAAAACGTTAATTTGTGAATTTAGCATAAATTGCGAGACGAGCTGCATAGAAGTGCTGGGCAGATTGATTAAACTGTTACGCGTCAAGAAATAGTTCTAGCATGTAACTACAGGTAAAACCACAAATTGTTTTTGCATTTCTGTTAATATTGGACTTAAACAAACAAGATACACTGTAAATAATACAACTTTTAAGGTGTTTTTTTTCTACTTTGGAAAAAGGCAGGCTATTTGTTTTCCTCCATTTTTTACGCTACGCTAGGCTAAAGCCACATAGTGATTGCAGTTCCGTAAGCACAGACGTAAGTATTACCCACAATTTTGAACTTTTTTATTATAATTAATACATTTTTAATTTACATATTGTTAGTTTTCTATATCTACTAGCTGAACAGTTTGTTCAGGTCAGTTGAGGAGTAGAGACTGGATTTGAAGGCAGTTTACTGTGTCACCTCCACTTGGAAACAAACCTACCTTATTGTGTCTTTTAGGTGTATGAATGTCTGTTTTTCAGGGATATCTCTAGTGTAGTTGTTTTATAGTTAGAAATTGATAAAACCAGCCAATTATCCAGTGGACCTCAGGGATGGATTGCCCGGTGGAGATTTGTGTATCAGCTGCAGTCTTCGACCAAAGGACTCGAAGCAAACAACCATGTTACGGTGAAATCCTGATAACTCAATCTAAGAGTCACTGTGAGTTTGATGCTTTGTAAAAACACCTGGAAGTCAAACAGTTGCCCCACCAGTGAGTGTTCATTTCACTGAAGACATCAAGTCACGCTGCAGATGAGAAGGAAAGCTGCCTTCCTTCCAGCTTATCACTCCATCCAGGAATTCAGACCAATCCACCTAGTTGTCTATTTGTCCATGGTTGATCCTTTGAACTTTGGTCTTCATTTAAGTAATTGACAAGTTATCCTTTTTTTGTTTTTTTGTATGTTTTTTACATGAAACCTTTAACTATGTTTGGACCAATAGTATTTCCAATATACACAGGTATTTTAAAAATGTGAATTTGCTGTACACACTGAGTTTATAATTATTTTTATTAATTGTTGTAATACCTATAATAGGTTCACAATTTGAGTTTGCCCCTTTGTCCCTTTAAAAAGGGAAATGAATGTATTTCTGTGGTGCCTTAGCACATGAAAATGATATTGATTTTAAAGTTACATAAAGGATGTTCTCATGTGGTTATTAGACCTATACAATATGATTGATTATTTTTCCTAATTAGAAATCTACATCTTATTAATGCAAACTTTTTTGTATTTATTAGAAGGATAATATTTATACAATTATTCATCCGTCCATATTCTTGTATGAGTAAACATGCAACATTTGTGCACATTAATGGGTCAATAAAATGAAAGGCTCAAAATGGTGTCAATAAGTAGTGTGTAGGAACATCTCTTGTAGACAGGCTCCAGTTCCTTTTCATTTCTGTTTTACGCGAAGCACCCAGTACATATACCCCTTTTCCACCAAGGCAGTTTAAGGGCTGCTTCAGAGCCAGTGCCTAATCTCGAACCAGTTCTTGACTTTTGGCCAGGAAAACTGCTTTCAGCATGGCAAAGGTTTGCTGGTAGTAAGAACCGCTTACACCAGGGTCTGGGGGTACCTTGGGGCTGCCAGCTATGTATTTATTTGATGTTTATTTGCATCTACTATCACATCAATGTTAGAAATGTAACATATATACAAATGTATATTGTTAGCTGACTAACAGCTAGCTTGCGAGCTAGCCTAACCTTGGTAACAAGAGCTAATGTCTGAGATGTATTACGGTGACGTAATGACGTGACTCTGTGGATTGGGCTAGTGCCGGTTCAGAATTTGTTCAATTTCAGAACCTTCTAAGAACCAGTTTGCTTTTCCATGACCAACAGAGCAGAGCCGTGTCATTATGTCACTGTATACTTATCCAACATTAGCCAGTTACCAAGGTTATGCTAGCTGCCAAGCTAGCTGTTGTTCAACTAACATTACCCAAGCATCAAATCATTAATTTCTCACATCAATGTTGGAGGTAACATTACTGGCTAGGCACAAGGCCCTTGCAGCCCTTGTCATAAGCAGTTATTGGTTCTAGACCAGCGAAGTGTTGGCTGGAACCAGCCGCGAAGAACTGATATATGAAAATTAAGGCACTGGCTCCGAACCAGCCCTCAAACTGCCTTGGTGGTAAAGAGGTATGGGTGAACCGACTGAATCAGCACTAGCACCAAAACGAAAAAGTTAAAAGAGGCTAAAAAGCTCTTTCAGAAGTTGGGTGATTATTCTTTGTTGGTTTGTCAGTATGATAGACACCTATTACATTAAGCAGTATTGGAAAGTAACTTAAGTATTGTATTGACCAACTACTTGTACTTTACTTGAGTATACTTTATACGTATACTCTGCTACTTTTCAGTGCAGTTAGGGGTTAATTTGCATATTAATATTTTGTTCAGAAAATTAAAACAACAAAATTTGAAGTGGGTAGAAGCTAGCTGTAACATTAAAATGCAGCTTCATGTTAGTGAATTGATAATTAACCAACAGTACAATATATAAACACTGACAGAGCCTTTACTAAACTTTTACTTTTACTTTTATACTAAATGTTTCGAATAATACTTTCATACTTTTATTCAAATAAGAGTTTGAATGCTGGGTATTCACTTGTAACAGAGTGTTTTAACAATGTTTTATTGTACTTAAAAACATTTTTTTAATGCATCTTCTACCAGCTATATACCAGCTTTATTAAAACTTTCCTGACCTTTTAGTCTTACTGTCCCTCCTCTCTCTGTTGCTCTCATTGTGCACTATCACTGTACAGACCTTTGATCAGTGTCAGTGTTGGGTCAGTAAACATGTCTATCAGGCCTGCTCAGTCTAGTACACATTAAATGCCTGGGGTCAAACCACAGCACAGCAAGTACAACTATAGTTTACTTTTGACAAGATATATATATGTAGAGAGAGAGACAGATACACAATAGAAAGTATTTCTTCCTCCACACAGTATTCTCTACACAGTATTGGAAAGCTAGAAGCTAAATATGGCCTTGGTTTGTACACACTGCAGTCTGTGACCTCCCCGCTTGTGCTCTCTCTTAACCCTGCTATAATAACTGGGACAACAGAAAACTGAGCTTATTTTCCAAATATGAGTAGATTTTAAGATTGTCATTTGTGTGCAGTTGATAAAGGCCAGACAATAAGGGGGTCAGCTATAGTGATTCTGTGATTGACGAAATAACAACACTTCTATTGTAAATGTACTCTGGACTGTATGTGGACTGAGAAACTTCAGACTGAAAATCACGTGTCCCTATCATTGCAGAAACACATCTTCCATCATCTTTCCAACCACTAACTTCCCCTAAAGGCAATATTGCAATAGTGTTTAGTTGACATTACACCACCTTCAATGCGTACACAGCTCCCTGAAATAGGTGAAATGCAACTTTTCTGTGTTTGAACAGCATGGTGACCAAGTGCACACCCAAACAGTTAATCATTAGAAACACATTTCACTTTGGTTATTCACAGACATTGCTGATCTGTGTAGACTTGTTTCAGTCATAAGTGCCATGCATAAAGTATTACTATAACTGGAGCACTTGCAAGACTTGTCTGGTCTCTGCACTGCATCACATCACATTTAGAGAGAGACTGAATTTTCACCCTTTTACATGTGACAAATTCACATAGGTACATGTGATTTTTGGATTATTCATATGTAATAAATTCACATGCACTGGAATAATTGCACAAAAAAACAAAAAGATACATTTGTATATGGACAGATACGTCCATATGCAGATTACAGACTGGATCTTTGACAGATTTTATTTTTATATGATGTTATAGGATATAATATGATATGATATACCGATCTGGATACAGATCCATGAACTTGTATATTAATGGCTCTTTACGGATACAGGTCCTTTTTGTCCAGTGATGATACAAGCACGTATGATTTTCTGATATTTGACACGTCAAATAGAAGATATCTTATGCGGAAACAATTGCACATAATATGTCACATGTACACAAGTACAAGCTATTCATTTTAATTTAAACTTACATCGTTTCAGTGGAGTGCTTTTATAGACTGGAAGAGGTTTGATTTGTTACTATTGTCTGCTGATGTGATGCAAATTGACTTGATGAAATCTACAAGTTAATCAACAGTTTCCTGTGTTCCTTCCATACTGTTCCTCTAAAGGGCATGCAGCAGTGACACTCACTAAGTTTCATGCAGTGTGTTACAAGAAGCTGTACACAAAATACTTGATGTACCAAACACATTTTAATACAACTGGCATACTTTAGAGCTCCCGTGTTCTTTTTTGCCATTTGAATGCATGTATCAAGTATTGTTACAAAGCAATACATTTACAGTGTTTACAGATTAACAGCAGGTCCCTTCAGTACAGCTCAGAGAGATTTTTGAGGTTAACAAATATTGCTACACAGGAGCAATTACCATTAGTGTGGCGTGAAGTGAGGTTACCAGGAAATGCATTTGGAGTGAAACGGTGGAAATGGGCTTCCATACTTTCATATAAGGAAAATTTACTGTAGTTCACAGTACCATTTTGGCTTTATTGCGGGAAGATGTCAGTGTAGTATTTTTCTGTGTCATTAATCATTATAGGAACCCCCTGTAAATCCTCAATGCAGACATTTGAGCAGGGATTAACAGCACTGCGGAAAATCCACTGAATTCATCTTCATTATCCCCCAAAAAACAGGTCCAATCATGTTTCTTTGGAAGATCAGATCAATGTTCTCTTTACAGAGAAAATCATGCACACTTTTATTTTATTGTGGACTGGACTGTTCTAACACCTTGTTTGCCTGAGATGCAGCCCAACTCGAGAGCTAGCCACTAAACTTCTCATGAAGACCAAACGCTCTTCAAGATTCAAGATTCAAGAAGCTTTATTTATCCTGAGGGAAATTACTGTGCAACAGTTGCAATACAAAGGTGGGAAAGTAATACAGAGTTACAGTACAAATAAGCTAAAAATTAAAATTAGAAATTAAATATAAGGACTAACGATGAAAATAAATCAAATCAATTTAACTAAATGACAACAAAAATGCACAGCTACCTTATCAGGTACATAAGTAACTAAATGTCAAACATAAATGCTACAAAAATTCAGTTAACATAAAAGAGCATTATAAATATAACCATACGTCACATGCAATTTGCAGCGATACAATTGAAATAAAATAGTATAAAATAAAATAAGTGATAAGTGACCGTTTGGATATAAGTGGTAATCAGTGGTAAAAGTGATAAAAATTGTAGCAGCATTTTGTGTAGCAGCATAAATTAAACTAAGGTACTCAGTACAACTAAATAAAGTTGATGGTGAAAATTTGGTAAAAATGAAGTGTTGAATACACACTGGAGAAGTCCCAAGACTCGATTCTCACAGATGGCTTCAGGTTGCCAGGCTGGGCGCTAGGCACGGTGGAGCCAGGCGAAGATGATGGTGCGATCCTCCACTCCTAGTCTCGGCTTGGTAGGAAACTGAAGACGGGTCCGCCAGTGATGAGCGTGACCCAAGGGGCGAAGAGAGTGAACAGACCTAGCCCTCCTTGTCAACAGTGGACCTTTTTCATCAAGGTTGAAGTACCCTCAGCCACAGTCCTGTAGTCGTTGGAGGTGCTGGGACGCCCTTTCATATCTGGTACAGGCAAGGAACTTTGTTGCTGTACATCTGTATTTGTCATCATCTGTCTCTCTGTCTCGTCTCTTGTCTCTCTCTTCATTCTTTCTCCCCCAACCTGGTCCAAGGCAGCATGACCACCACCTAGACCGATAGCGGTCTGTCAGGTTTTCTGCCCGTTTAAACAGGCAGTCTTTTACTTGCCCCCCATGCGCCAATGTGCTTTTTGCTCAATGGTGGTACTGTTGGTCGTCTGTAAAGTGCATTAGTAAGGAGTTCGGATCTAGACCTAATGTCTCTATTTGAAAAAGTGTCCTGAGATAACTTTCATGTATTTGATTGCAGCTATATCAAAATAATTTGGAATTGATTGTAATTGAATTCCTCTTTCCCACAGCACAGTGGACCCTCTCGGACTCAGGCTGTCAGGGTGGAAATTTGGCTGCCAGCGACCCAACATCACGCTGGGTTTGCGTGCACATGTTTTGAGGACCCTCGGGCTGACACCGTTGGGACCTGCTGCCTTGCCTGGGCGGAGTCTGCACAGCTCCTTGCCTGTTACCTGTTACCTGTTCTGCAGTGAAGGTCTGTCTGCTGTGTGTGTTGATAGTGGATCCGTGGAGATCATTGCAGCATCCTCCACTGCCTATACAGCAACCTCTCCTCCAGTCTGATGGATAAATGTGTGTGGACAGCCAGAGAGAACAGCCACAGGCTACAGTTACACCAGTGCTGTTGCAGTATGAATGAACCAGGTCAGAGTCCAGGCCATCCTGAAAGAGTGAATGTGAGCATGCTCTGTCAGCAGAGAGTGCAAGAGAGCTGCAGAACAGAGTGAGCCTGCAGCTGCTGCACAGTCTCCATGGTAGAGAATACAGAATAAACATGCACACTTACAAATATACTATATATATAAATGAATTAAAAATTCTCATTTCAGATGTTTTGTTTATTGTAGTCTTAATAAAATGGGCAGTTTGGACTAGTTGGGGTACATGCCCTACACAACAGAAGCGCCTTCAGTACCCAGTGTGTTGGGATGGGTGTAAGAATAATGGTGATTCAGACAGTATGAGTACCCAGTAAAAAACCATGGCATCCATAGCACAGCTGGCTGGCAGTACAGACTACTATAGACAGGAATATATCTGGAATATATCAAATCTCTGGTTGCATGTACGTCTTGTAAAATGCTTCCTTTCATTATACATTCTTGTGTCAGGAAGGAAACTGCAGAGCAGGAACAGGAGAGGTCAAAGCATTTAAGCATCAAAGCTATGGACCTTCATTTGATAATAGTCTGCCGGACCCTCAACTGTAACAATAGGAGCCCATTAACACAGCACTGTGATTCAGGCAGGGCATTCCACATTATGCCCCTGCAATTGCTCCCGTCAATGCAAATGAAAGCATTTAATTGTCTTCAGAGGACTATAAAGACTTGTCCACCACCCCAGACACTTGTTCTTTCAGCAACAATTTTCCTTTCAACAACACCCACCATTGTAATGTGGAAAAGTCTTTCTCTGCCTTTGCCCTACAGACTGCACCCAACCCCCCTATCCACCACCAGCAAGCAGATAGTAAGCCCACAAGGTGATAGGCCTGTCTGATTTAACAGATGGCTGCTGTAGGTGTGTGTGTATCCTGTGAGTGGTTTCTTTAGTCACTGTATTACATCACAGTACACAGGATCCTTGTAAAGCGCTGTTTATCTGGTGTCCTCCTCAGTAGCTTACAGGCTGAAACATAAACGGTGAAGGCACCTACCCTGTTTATAGGCTAATCAATGATTGTGTTAAAGGAGAAATTGGCAGAAAAATCAATAATGAAAATAATAAAACACAATACACTTACTTACCTTCTAATTTTTTTTCTTTCTAATTTTTTCACTTTTTTACTGGGATTTACATGTGTACACTTGTTTGTTTTAATTTGTGTAAAATATCGTCAATAAATAGGCTATAAATGAGCCTGGCCAAATGAATGCAAAAAACTATTCATGCATTTAGCACTGAGTGACGTAATTATCTTCTTTCATATTTTTTTATTATTGTTAAACACACAATAAAA